TATATAACATAAGTTTTTATGCATACATAACAAGGTTATATTTACATTGACTTAAACTTTCTAACGTTGTAATCAGCTATATTTGTGTAATAAAATTAATAAAAAGTCAAAAAGGATTAAATAACTCATATATCAAGGCTATTATAAAACAAAAACTTTTATAATTAGTTTCAAATATGAATTCTTGTGAAAAATATTCATTCATGTTATACAATATAATATACAGTATTATGGTATTCATAGCACAGACAGTGTGTTGTATGGAAAGTAAAAGTACTTTGACTTTTTAAAGGCATTTTCCATGAATTAAATATAACTAGAAATAAATTTTTAATTTTAATTTCAAATACATACTGATATCTAAACGGAAACTGCGAGAGAGAGAGAGAGAGAGAGAGAGAGAGAGAGAGAGTTGAAAAGCTTTCACAAGCATCTGATAAATAAAGAAAATTTACAAAAATAGTGTCAAAAAGTGTTTTGAAAAGCCTATAGACGTGTCAACGATAGGAATAAATGTTTAAATAGCAAACTTTAAACTTTTCTTTTTTTCTCATTCACTGGTTATTAACATTTTCAAACCCAAGTCATGATAATAATAATCAAACTTTTATTTGTGGATTTATGCTTAACATTAATAAACGTCTCGTGAATATGAGTCTCATATGAATAGGAAAATGTGTGTTAAATGTATGCAATCGATGGTAAACGCCTACACTTTAACATTCAATCTCTCTCTCTCTCTCTCTCTCTCTCGCAGTTTCCGTTTAGATATCAGTATTTATTTGAAATTAAAATTAAAAATTTATTTCTAGTTATATTTAATTCATGGAAAATGCCTCCAAAAAAGTCAAAGTACTTTTACTTTCCAGCTTTCCATACAACACACTGTCTGTGCTATGAATACCATAATACTGTATATTATATTGTATAACATGAATGAATATTTTTCACAAGAATTCATATTTGAAACTAATTATAAAAGTTTTTATTTTATACTAGCCTTGATATATGAGTTATTTAATCCTTTTTGACTTTTTATTAATTTTATTACACAATTATAGCTGATTACAACGCTAGAAAGTTTAAGTCAATGTAAATATAACCTTGTTATGTATGCATAAAAACTTATGTTATATATAAAAATCACTGTATATTCAAGAATATTAAATAAATACAGAAATAAAAAAATTATTTGAGATAACGTCTGCTGTTTTCAAACATCAGACACTAATTACATGAATATTTTTATATCAATTGTTTTCGTATTCATATGACTATTATCTGGAAAACTGAAGACGTTTTTAGGTTTAATTTCATTTCTGTCTAAACCAACTAATAGTCTAATGAATAGCAAGCACAAATCCTTGACTTATATATTAAATGTCTTATTATTTACTCCATAATACACTGTAATACTAGACAATAAAATCCAAGTTTTTGTAAATAAAAATATTAAATAGAAAACAGGACTTAAAAATTACAAATAATTAGCAAGCACAAAGGACTTGTTTAATTGTTTTTTATTTTCAATTAATTCATTCAAAATACACACAAAAACAGACTTAAAACTAATCTTTAATTCTTACTCTCCTTTGACTGCAACTCAAAGTCTTTGGGATTAAAGTCACCGAAACCCTCATCTCCGTCACCGCCCATCTCAGGCACCGGTAGTTTCTTATCCTTCATGTCAATCATCACCTCTTTCTCCTCTATGACACCCTTTCCCTCACCGACACCGACATCCCTATGGCCTCTATGCTCATCCATTTCCTCCTCCTTTTCCATCTCCTGTTTCACGCCCTCATCGACAGCCACACCCGGCATACCGTCCACGGCGGGCATATATCCGGGCATTTTGTGCTCGTATTCGACCATCGGCACGAAATCCTTGCCCTCCATATCCACACCACCCATAGGTTTATAGCCACCGACGCCGACATCCTTTTCCACCACATGAGGCTTAGGGTTAATGTCATAAATGGGCGGTTGTTTCTCAACCGTCACTTCCTNTAGAGTATATTATTCCCATTGAATGCGAGCTTATGTCTGAAAATTATTAAAAATATTTGAATATTATTAGATTATTTAAATCAAGTAAAATGTGGTTTAAATGTAAAATCATGTAATATATCTCATATAAGTGTCGGCAGAATATTCTTTTGATCTTTTAGTTTAAATGTAAGAATTTTAAGTTATTTTTAATTATAATAATTTACGAAAATTTTTGATGATTTATAATGGATATTATAATTAGATTAAATGTGGTGCCACTAATTTGTGTTATTTTTAAGACTTTTTAGTTAACTTATGCCATTTATGCCATGTCCAAAAATCTTAAATTAGATTAGAGTTTCACAAATTATAAATTTAATTGAAATTCAGGAGAATGATAAATGAACTTGCTCGTAATTAAATAAAATTTCTAATTGAGAATATCAAAGTTTATTTATTCACAGCTATTATAACGAATAAAATAAAAAGTATTTTAAAATTTTAAAATGAGGCAAATTTAAATTAATTAGTTGTATTATATTTTTGAAACTCCAATATTAGCTAGGTTTAAAAGGTTTGTTTTTGTTTATGATTTCTATCGATTTTAAACATTATGTCTATTTTACTATTTTTATATAAGGCTTTTAAGCTTAGCTTAGCTTTTAATAAAAGATTAGAAATAAACCATGGTAAGTTATTAGTATAACTATTAGCCAAAATGTTTAAAAATATGGTTCACTATTAGTGCGTACCTGTATTACTATAAAATAATAAACAATATCAGTCTATTATTTTAATTACAGTATTTTGAAAGGTTTATTAAAAATATTTTTTTACAAAAAAAGTTAAGAATTTATTTTCTACCTATAGTTAAATATTTATTCTTTACTTTGTAAGTGTTGCC